TGTTATTTTTATGGTTTGCATATAAGGTGTCCTCCAAAAGCTCTTAGGTTAATGCAGGAAGTGATTTGATTAGATTATGAGAGCTGAACCAAATCAGTGGATAAATCCATTTGATGGTTTAATATTTTGAATAGATTACTAGGTGACAACTGTGATAACAATAGTTAGAGGAAATGTGTCCCTGGGGGTATCCTTGGGGATTATATCTTTTATCTTCAGGTTCTCCTGCTCTCTGCTTCCTGCTTTCCCTGAACTGACACCTTTCCTCTGCCATGCCCTTTCTCCATAATGTCCTGCCTCTTCTAACATCCAGAGCAATAGAATCAGCTGTCCTTGGACTGAACCTCTGAAACCATGAGTCCCAAATTAAGCATTTCTTCCTCTAACTGTTCTTGTAGGGTATTTTGACCATACTAATAAAAGTTGACCAACAGGCATTTTTCACTATGCCCATATTAATTTTCTATAATTGTGTCATCTCTTTGTTAAATTTCTTTGTTCACATCTCCTACATGTTCTATTAGTTCTTCTAACATGACTTCTTACAGATACAGTCTATATACTTTTATATGTTTATCTGACTTTGTTCCGCTTTGTTGTATACAAAACAGTAGAAACATTTGTTTATGCTTAGAGTTGAACGTATTCTTATTTTCTGATACTATTTCTTTAGTAAATTTAACATTGAGGAGTTGTCCATTGCCACACATAACTTAATTTCTCCTCTGTTCAGTTATATGTTATGCATTCATCGTATATTTTAAAGCATTTATGTTGTTCCAAGCTCTACGGTAATAACTGTATGTAGAAACTCTCTGAAGAGCAGGACATGTTTGTAAACAGAATAAATGTAATAAAATGTGATCAGTGCCACAATATTAACATGTAAAGCACCACAAGAGAAAGATGGAGCTTTTTAGAACTTTTTGGCACATTGATGGGTGCAAACATCAATGTATTAATATATCATACTACTTCATGTTGAAAATTATGTATCCATTCAAATTGAAGGCCATTGTTCTCTTGAAATTTCCTACAAAATCTTACAAGCCCTAAGTTGCATTTCTATAATATAGTGTCCCTATATTGTTTCTTCAATGCACAGCTTTTAAAGAACCATATATATTATGAATATTGTCCTATATAATTAAACTAGTGGTCATTCAAATATCAATCACTTATTCACTGAGCACAAAATATTCAATAAGGCATGTATGTAGAAAGCAACCAACTTATACAAAACACCATGTAAATATTTCAATTTCTCTATAATGAACTAGAATTACTTGATTATAAGTATGTGATATTAGTGCAAAAAATGATTGGCATTGTAGTAATAGGTGTTAATAATCCTAAGTCATATTTTATTTTTCAGATATATTCTGAATTAAATTTCATATTTGAAATATTTCTATTTTCATATATAGGTGAGTACATTTTAAAGGAAATATTGATTTTTTTATTTCATTCTCCATTCTTTCCTCTTGCTCTACTTGTTTACTATATACATGTTGTGTTTGTTTAGTTCTTTCTAAAATTTTTTCCATCAAATCTAATCTGCAAAATGTTCTGCTATAAGGACTGGAGTGTAGCTCAGTGGCAGAATACATACATATCATGTGTGAGATGCTGGGTTTAGTTCCCAGTATTGAAAACACACACACACACACACACACACACACACACAAAGTTCTGCTATATATATAATGTATAACTTGTTTGCAATTTTAACACGTTATTGCTTGAGATTATTTATAATATAAATCATGTTTATAATTAGTGTTACAGTCTCTAATAAAACGTGTTCCTCTAATAATGTAATAATGTAAGGTGTTTTTCCAAGATTAAGAAATATCTGTGTGTTTGTTAAATAGTCAGGCCAAGATTTGTAAAGAGGAAAGCATTAACACTGCCCATATGGGACCCATTATTCTAGGGATTGGGAGGCACAGTTCCTCCTTGATGTCCACCCAACCTGATCCCAAGCATTTTCTTTAGCTAATTGCTAAGCTGAAATTCCTCCTCCTCCCATATCTTCAAACTTTTTCTTCCTAACTCCTCCCCCTTAAAAGAGAGTCAAGAGGGTAACATAATGTAGTTGAAGAAACATAAGCTATGGAATAAGTTTCTGCTTCCAGTACTTGGGGAAGATACTTCAAATTTTAAAGACTCAGTCTTCTCTCTAAAAGGGAGATGTTAAATTCTACTTCAAGATCAACATAAGAAGTAAAGAAGTATGTAACATGCCTAGCATTTAGTTTGGCATAAAGTATTGCCTTGCTTTTCAAATTTCCATATTAATAATGTTATATTCATGATAATTATGGTTTAATAATAACAACTCACTTGTCTATTTTGATACCTTAACCTTTCTCCTCTTCAAATTTTCATGTGTATTAAGCTCCTTCTTTTTCTAATTCTCATTCCCATTTTAATCTGCTTTTAGTTCAGAGCAACTTTTCTCATTTAATTCATTAATATCAGTAAGCTTCTACTACTCAAATTTCTTTAATGCAGTTTGTACTTATTTGTATTGATATAATACCATACATCTAAAATGGCCATGTGTGTGTACATGTATTTGATATTTCAATTTTATTGTCTTCTGACTTCCTAATTTTCTAATCATTCCAGCTTTCTTAAATTTTCTAAATCCTGCCGTTTTAATATTTTTAAGGATGCTGTCCTCTCATTTCTCATTCAACCACCTAATTAATCTGGGAGACAAGTTCTAGATCTGTAACTTCTTTCAGCTCGTAGCTAATGAATACTGTGATTTTCAACAGCCCCTACTATTCATCTATGCTCCATATACTTATTTCTATTGGTCTACTAGACATCAAATTGATATTACAAAGAACTTCAAAGTACACATAATTCAAACTATATTAATTTTCCCTATTTCTCATTTTTCTTTAGTTTTTTTTAATGGCAACATTATTCACTTAAAATGGCCAAGAAAAAACTGAAAAAATATTCTAAAATATTATTTTTTTTTGTAGTTGCTATATATTTCACCAAATCTATTGGTTCTCTTCCCTAGCCTCCTTTCATCCAATCCCCCTTCCTTTGTTGCTCTGTCTTCTGGGGAGTAACAATTATGTCTCATCTGGACTATGTCAGTAGTCACCTAACCTTGCAATCTGCCTTTGGTTACTTCCATATTCTAACTCATCTTCCCGAAAGATGCCATATCTTCCTAAAGTACAAATAGGATCATACTAATGGCTAGAAGAATATCTTTATTTTGTCAACATAGATAAGATCTCCAGAATGAGTTCTACTGTATAGCACAATGCCTATAGCTAACAATATTTAATAGTATATTTAAAATTTGCCAGGTGTGTAAACTTATGTCATGTGTCCTTAAGCGCCCAACATGCATGCACATACACACACATGCACACACACCAACAGTAATAAAGGAGGTAAGAATAAACTTTGGTAAGTTATAGATACATCTATGGCCTTGATGGTGGTGATGGTTTCATGAGTGTGTATTAATTCCCAGTCTCATTGAGTTGTATATATTATCTATGCATACCTTTGTACATGTCAATCATAATTCAATGAAGTAGGTAGAAAAAAAGAATAGCTTACAATTGTATGATACTTACTAAATGAAAAACATTGTTTTGAGAGCTTTACTGATACAGTCTCAAAACACTGTGATGGTTTGTATATCCTAAAAGATAAAAGCACATTCTGTTAATAGGGCCTATTGGGCCACTCTCCTGTAGGTCTCAAACTAGCTTTCTCTCGGCACCTTCACTGACACAGAAGTAGCTCACAGTCACTGAATATGCCATGTTCTTACATCCCACAATGTCACTTCACCTCTACCCTTTTTATTGATTGATTGATTGATTGATTGCGATACTGAGGATTATATCCAGGGCCTTATGCATGCAAGGCAAGTGCTCTACCAACTGAGCTATATCCCCAGCCACAACACCTCTACTCTTTCTGGCAAGAATTCTTGACCATATTATCTGCTTGGAAAACTCCTATCCATCCTTTAAGACTTAGCTTAGATATTCATTCAGCCAATTACTCAATTAGTTCTCCTAGGGAGGATACATGTCACCATTTTCTATAAAGATTTGTACATGCTTCTTATATAATGATTTTACTTTATATTGTCATTGCCCTTTTTCCACTTATTCTGCTGCCATCCAGTATACTAAGCTCTTTGAATGTAAATCTATATTTAATCTGTACTTGGACCTCTAAACCCTGGTACAATATCTAACAAAATAAATTCTCAATAAAACTTTTCCAAATAAATGAGAGGACCAAATATATGATGGTTTTCTGCTTGGTTATAAATACGCTTAGTATAATTCTTATGTCCCCAAAATAGGAAGCAAATTCCTCTATAGGTTTTAATCAAGAAAGTGAATTTTGATATTAAACACACTAATATAATGAAAAACACCTCGCTCTCTCTCTTATTTAAAATACAGAGATAATATTTTTTCATTTCACAAAAACATAAAAAGCATAGAAATATACTATTCCAGACTCTAAATTTGAAATCCCTTCTGTCTGGTTTCAATCAAGAAGATCAGACACAGTAATAGAAATAAATGAAGTCTCCCTCCATCCCTTCTCTAATGGGAAATACTAATATCGTCTTTTTTCATCTAAAAACAAAAGAAAAACAAACAAAGGATTTGTAGAAATATGGTACTCTTAGGCTCTGAATTAAAACCTCTGAGAATATTCTTATACTAACACGGAGACAAATGTTAACAAATAATGATTTAAAAGAAAAACTACTGAATGTATTTCTGAGGTATTAGAGTACAGCTTATAGGCTTATTAACAGTTGACACTGACTGTTTTTTACCTCTGATCCTCATCTTCAATGTGAAATCAATACAGCCTGCCTCATGTTTCACAAAGTATTGGTGTGAGAAGCAAGAAGGAGAACATTTTGGGGAGTACGCTTTGAAACATAATGTACTGTACTATGACGTGTGTAGCTATTCACTCACCAAACACAGTTCTTGCAGGCACAGATTCTCTGTTAAGCCAGAATGACACTTGGGAGAGAATGACAGTCATGATGCAAGGCAAATAGGTCTGAATCACAAAATACCCAATTTTTCTTTTCAAGTGGAAATGAGCTGTCATTACAGTATATTCACCTGGAAGAAAAATTTAAGTAGCTTAAGGAACTGTAATAGTCAATAGTTGGAACATTTTGAAAATGGAAAAGATGTTAGAAAGAATAGTCCCTGATTAAAAAATAAAATGAACACATACATATCATGAAAACTATACCAAACTTGAAATCCCTCATTAGCACTGCAAGAGCATTTAAGACAAATTTCATAGTTATCAAAAAACTTGCATTGCATGTTTTTTCTTTGGGTCATGCCTACTGACCATCAGGATTCAGAATTGAAAAGGCTCTCTGCTGGTGGATTATCTTACTTGCTCAGGTTTCTTATTATCACTGGTACTCACTTCCAGCTTCTGCTATAATAGATCTAATTTGGTCCTCCCTGGCTCTTCAAAGTGTTGATCTCTGGCCTCATACCTAAGACTAGTCTTCTGGCCCAGATTCCCACTGCCAACCCCACCACCGGTTCTGGATTTCTCTGTGCTGTGTGTCTGCTCCAATTTGCTTCAGTCAGTTCTATGTGATCTTTGTATCTACCTTCCCTTCTTCTCGGGGTTTTAATTATTGCCAGATGTAAGCTAATTAGTCCAAACAGCTGCTATTTTCTTAGATGAGGGTGGCCCTTAGAGAGAGAATGAGCTTTTCCACACAGGCCAGTAGTAATTATCCATAAATCAAGAGTTGAATAATCATAAATTATCCAGAACAGAAGGAAAAGAATCAGAAAAGAAGGGAAGTTGTCATCACAGATGTGGAGACAAATGTTAAAATTGATCTGAAAAGACAGGCACTTTTTGAATATGTAGTATATTTTAGGCCAGTGTCTCTGAAACTTTAATGCACACATGAATCTCCTTGGAATCTAGTGAAAATACAGGTCCTAATGTAGAAAGAGCTGTAGCCTAAGATTCTGAATGTCTAAAAAGCTTCTAAGCCGCCTGAGCTGATAGTTCATGGACCTCAAGAGCGAAAGTTTTTAAGTAATCTGACCCATTTCCTATAACTTTAACCTATTAATTTTTGCAGGCATTAGTTTTTCTTTAGACTCATTTTACTAACCTGTACTGGATTTAATTGTCTCCTTTCCAATTGATTGGCCCAGCAGATCATATTGATTTAATCTGGAGCCATCAGGAGCAACCTGTACTGAGTCAGATGCATTGTAAGTCCAAATATAAGTGACCTCTGAAGTTGTATATGCATCTGTTGGAAATCAGAAAAAAAAATCTTAAACACTTTAATAAGAACCACCAAAAGAATGATCAAAGGTTGTATATTTCATAGAATTACTTTTTATTAAAATAATATTTAAAGAGGTCACATTTCATGGCAAAAATAGGTCCTTGAAGTTTATGATTTTCATATGAAATGTATGAAGCAGACCAACATAACAATCATGAGAACCTGAGATTAATATCATTGCAACCACTGTGAGAGCTGAAGAGCAAACTTCTCTGCAAAAATCACCAGGCTCTTAGATGGTTATATTGTTGCCCTTAGTCCCAGGGATTCAGATGAAGACACTGTATTAAAGAAATCTACTGGAGTAGAAATAGCAACCATTTAGGAAATAAAAATCATAATCCAAAATTATGCTGTCTTCTGAACATAAAAGCAACTTAGTTAAGTCAAATGACTTAGCAATCAAATTAAAATGCATTGCAGGAATGGTGTGACTCTACATCATGTACAACCAGAGAAATGGAAAGTTGTGCTCTATTTGTGTAAAAAAAAATATTACAATGCATTTCATTAGAAGACTGAGAACTAATTGCAAGACATGTAAAGTAAATCAGAACACTATATAGTTCAAACATCGGCAAACTCTTTTAAAAACATTTATTTTTAAATTAATTAATACACACAAATGTCACTAGACTACAATTTTATAGCATACCATTTAACTTATGAATTCAGAGAAAGAGATAAAACAGAGACAAGGTAGGCCTATATGATTTCTTAGGCCTAGGATGCAGAACTTGCCGAAGTGAGATGACTCTAGAGCTGGAGTACAGGTGAGAGAGCTGGTCTTAGCCTTCTGCACTGGCATTTCCTCACTCATGTGTGTTCTGTTAGAGAACAGCTGACCTCTCCTTGCAGGCAGTTTCTCAACAATTGAAAAACCATAATTTCTGCTCTAACAATGACTTTGGGAAGAACTTCTATGAATTTTGCTCATGTAAATGCTTAGAAATATTAGTTACTTCTGGTTCTTGAACAAAATTCAGCATCACAGTCAAATTTTTAGCTGGGGAGGAAAAGGACCAGTTGTCTTGGGCAATACCTCTGCCTCCAGCCTGCCAGGACACTGACAACCTCATTTCTTTGCCAGGTATAAGTTACTTCCCTTAATACCACTGGGCTGGGGTGGTCCTGGTGCTGAACGTTATTCGAGGTCCATAATGGCAAATGAATTTCAATTTAAGCATAAGTAATAATACAGTGAATGTTTATGAGTTTGTGTCTTATTTGTTATGCTGCCTTTTCATGACATTTTTCAATATTCTCTGGTTTTCTGAATGTTGTTTCTAAATGTTAATATAAGCAAAATACTGTTTTCATTACACATTCATTCATCTACATCCACAATTAAATTATGTGAAAATGTTTCAAATAGGATTATAATAAATAAAGATATATATTTCTGCATTTTTAACACAGATAAATATGTAATATTGTAGATGAATTAATTCTTGTTATTTTAAAGTCTAAATTTCTTAATAATTAATTTCAATTAATTAATCACTGATGATTTTACTGATAAAAAATCACATAATAACTTAGTTTTGCAGTAAGTAGCCCATTTGAAGATCATAATGTGGCTTGTTATTTTTCTTCCATAAATACACATTATTGTCCCTCTCTTCAAAATAATTTCAAATATCACAAAATCAACAGATTAAGAAGATACATTGCCTTTATCACTTATATATTAGAGAATCATATTCTGTAGTTGAAATCTTAATAAATTATGAAGTCTTTAAAAGTAAATACAATTGTATAACTTTTGAATTTTAGGGTTACTTTTGTATATATAAGAGAAACAAAAGCCTATAAATGTGATTTCATTCCTAAAAATTTGTGAGACACTCATGAGCAGAGATTCTGATTCATGTCTATAAATAGATTATAGCTTGTTAATGTTAGATTAATTTTGACTAAAATTAATATTTTAATTATGTTATAAAAGATGCAGATCTCGAGAAGAGCCTGACTCTTTTTCAGAAAATGACTGATCCTGCATCTATTTTTTACAAATGAAGTCACTGCATTGCATTAATTCAACAGGAATCTACTGCATTTTATTTTTTAGATTTGGGGTTTGATGACAAAACATGTAATGGAAAGTTGTACAATGCAGACTGAAGAGGCTGTTCTGGTACTCTAACATATACCTAAACTGGGAGGCCAACATGATGCTTCTCAATTAAGCAAAAATGGAGAGAAGGATACTTTGTTTAGCAAAATTCACTATAAATCCCACCACTAACCTAGGCTGCCTGTAAATAATTTTATTTAATTTTGTTTAAAAAATCCATGTTTGAGTCATGTTGGTGCACTATACAAGTGCATACTGACTGTTAATATTTGGTAACCAAGCAAAATACTCCCAAATCACTTTTATCTAGTAAATTTTATCCTAAAAGAGGATTTACAATGCATTTTTGGCTAATACACAGAATAATCCTAGACTTCTGTTCAGGAAGTTTTAAATCCAGGGAAACAAAGAAGAATACAAAGATGTGAGACAACAGGTATAAAACAAGCACAACTGAATTTAAAATTGTACACATGTAGAAAAGATGCTTCTTTTATTTGAGGACAACAACAAAGTCCCAGAAATTCAATCATTTTTGTAGGTGGGAAGGACTTGTAAGTAAGCATGGAATCAATGTCTAGGGGGAAAGTCATAGCTGCTTCTGCCAAATTTTGCTGTGTCAACATGTTAAGGTTTGGCTTGGCTAGTTGGTCTATTATTCCACACTGGTGTCCATACTTTTAATACCTATGGATCAAAAATCTACCATAGAAAGATAAATAAGAGAATATGCAAATTTTTATTCAACATGTCAGCATATAAATGTGAAGAAAACAAAATGAATAATAACTATTTAAATAGGCAATGCTTAACAAAACTTTTGTGCATTGACCATAGACTTTCTGGATACAGAAAACTATAATCTTAAGCATGCAATATTCCACTACTCTGTATCTGCAATGTATCATATTTTTAAAGTTCACATAAAATATTTTTGAGCAAATTTATCTCCTTTTAAGTACTGAGACATCACATCATTTATATTTGATGTCAAAATTCCAATACTTATCGACTGAAACATGCCTTTCCTTATATCATTACAGGCTCTTGGATAAATTCTTTCTTTGGTATGAAGGCTTTTCAAATTTCTGTTTAATGTCTCTTATGCAATGCAGATGAGTTATTCTCCTCTGCATCTGCTGTGGTTTTCTCAGCATCATGTTTACATTGTATAACATGATTGACTATCTTAAATAAAGTTGGAAGAAATGCCAGTGTTGAAGTGATGGTTTCCATGACAATAAAGAAATGCTTGTAGTCTGACAAAGAGGAGATTCTCAAAGAAAATTGAGAACAGACACCTTTTGTAAAAATGTTCAGAACAAACAAGACTGAACTTCTCACTCCATGAAACTATGGTCTTCAAAATTATTAGGAGGTTTTGCATTCATTTTAGCCATTATTCTTCCCCCTTTTTTTAACTGGCCACTGTCAGTGAGGAGAAGGTACACTCTTTGGTCATACAAAGTTTTAGTCAGGTGAGAGAATTGTCTTTTTGTATTCAGCAGAGAAAAAAAAAGAGCCTAAAAGTGTTTAAAATGAATGGACAAAGATGGGGGTTCCAGAAAAAGTACAGCTTCTAAAAAGATCAGAGAAGAGGACGTGCTCACACAAGGGAGAAGCTGCTTAGCTGGGTTCATGAGTTTAATTTGAATCTGCCTGGAGTGTCATGTGAGCCTAGGAGGAGGATTTGACCTTCCCCCTTTTCCATTATTCCTGGAGTGTGCATGCTTCAGCTTGACATACAAGATATAACCCAGGGACCTAAAGAATAGCCAAAGGCACAGAGCCTTTTTTGAAATGTTCTAAGTACAGAAGGTGCCTGTGTAGCAATCCATCTACATTATCTTTACATTTATTTTAAGGAAAAATAACCCTTCCATTATTTAGACAGTAAAAGACAATTACACAGACCCTGTTCCTGTGACTGTCCTTTGCAGCAGGCTGATGACAAATAAATAGAATCTATCTTTCGCAATTCATTCTTAGTTGATGAAAAAAAGACATTTATTTTGCATTTTTTAAAAAAATATTCTAGCACTGGAAAATAAATTAACTACAGCCCTCACCTTAAAGGAGCTCCCGGTCTAATTTTACACAGGTAAAAGACACACGATGTTCCTTATCAGCATTAAAAGAAGTGACCATTTAAGCACCACGATTAAAATTATTGAGAGTACCAAGGGCTAGCCAATTAGTTCTTCAAGGGGAACCAGCATGTCTTTTATTACAGCATCTTATTGGGCAAATAGTGAGCATTTCTTAACGTGAGAGGAAACTACACAACTCAGCAGCACTGCTGACTATTACTGATATTATTGACCCAAAGCATATATTTTCATCCTTGTACTTACAGCTGCCAAATTTCAGAGGGCATGAATGAGCATCCATTGGAAAATCCTCCAAGTGCATTGGACATTCAGCTTGAACTGTAAGCCTAAAAGTTAAAATTCCACTCTTTGTTTAAGTAAATTGGCAAGTCAAGAAAAATCACTCGAAAAGTCACTGTTGTCAATAGAGTTAATGATGAGGTAGGACTTTCATTACAGCATCATGTTAGGCTACTTCACATTTAAATACATTTTTTTTCTTTCACATTTAGGAGTTCCCTCAGAAGACACTGGCATATACAAAATATGAACAAAATAACAATATTGGTTATTAAAGTCATACTTTTCATTGTCACTTTCTACCCAGTAGTTTGTTATGAAGCAAAGAAATTCTATATGCATTTTTGAAAGGCTGTTTCCCCATTAACTTTACTATTAATATTCAAAATCTTAAAAATATTTAAAACACCATCATAAGATGAATGCCATTTTTCCCATCATCTCATCAACAACTGTGCAGCAAATATAAGAGCTCAATATTGGTTGAGAGGAACTCCCTTCCAAATATGCCAATTGTGAATGAGTATCATGCTGTACATAGATATAAAG